AGTGTGGGCTGCCAAGAGCATATTAAGCCCTGTCTTCTGCTCTGCTCACTGACTTCTCATAGCGTGCTGAGCAAATTGATTGAGTTTCACCAGTAGGGAGTAAATTACAGAAATACACTAATGGAAATATGGTGCCAGCTGACTACCTTTAATTTAGATGGGTTCGAGCAGCATTGCATCTGTACCTATGCCTCTCCTCTCTCGAAGCACTGGTGGATTAGCAGCTCTCAGGCCATTTTCCTTATCATTATTCATACTTTTGATGTTGCTCAACTACCTGATTCTAAGCCCAAAGCACTGACAGAGGGTGTTTCCAGACACCAAACAGCACAACACAAGCAAACATTCAGAATCCTCATGGGCTCCAATTCACTTGGTTTCACACCAATCTTTACTGTGCCAGGAACTCGTCCAAGTATCAAGGTCTTGCTGGTCTTCCTGCTTTCTGTTTGGTAAGGATATGCTCTTGGACCACTTTGCATGCCTGTCAGTCTGGTGGGACAGTGGTTTGTTGTGCCACTGGCTGGCTACATGTCAGTATTCTTTGCATTGATCTCTAATTTTATTTTAGTCAGAAAATTTCATCTTGTTCCAGGTTCTCTTGGGCCTGATCTACTGGTATATAAATATTTCCACCATTCACTTAGCTATTTATGAAAGATGACTTCTGTTTTTATGGAAACAAATGCACTGAGTATGACCCTGATGATCTGGCACTGTTTCTATCTACAGTGGGAGTAATAAATCAGGTTTTGGAGATCTTATTCTGCCATCATCTATAGTGTAGTTTGTGCATGGGTTTATCTTCCAGAAGAGTCTCATCTCCTCTTACATTTTTCTTAGTGACTTCTAGTATCGAGTCACTGGTTACCGAGGTCATGACAGTGCATTTGCTTTCTCAGGTGTGTTCAGATTAACTCTGGGGTTACTGGTGTACACAGTTTTGCTTGTGTATTAACTCTGCAACAATTAAGTTGGTGGTCTGCAATTTTAAATCCAAACGGGGTCCATGCAAAGCAAATGCAGAAGTCCGTGCACTGTAACAAGGCAGGCTGTGTAATGCTCTTCCGCAAGGAGGCAACTCAAGCTGCATAGCTGGTGCTGAGATGGAGCAGGTAACCCGAGCCAGACCAGTCTGACAACTGGAACTGTTCTCTACAGGGCCCCTTTGACTGCTTCATGTTCCAGGAGCTTTGTCAGTTTATGTGCAGCACGACCCGAATGCACAAAGCAAGTCTAAATCTAATGCTGCACATGTGTCACCAAGCCCTTTCAGAAAAACATGCAACTAGCAGTACATCATGAGGCAGTAACTTTTGCAAAATGACAAGCTTCTCCTCCCCCTGAGTTTATATCCAGCAAATGAACTCACCTTTCCGGCTGGAGGCAGGGATATACTTACTAGAAAACTAACAGCAAGTTTGAAAAAAAAAAAAAAGAGCTATAAACAAACATTAAAGAAACATAAAAAAAGTGGAAGTGGATTTTTATTTTTCACTCTTCTCCTTCTCTCTAATATAGAGCTTAAGCTGTTGGCAGTGTAGTGCAGAAGTGGCGGAGATATTGGGTTTTACCTTTCGAGTGTGCTTGCTTTGGGGGGAGCTGCCAAATCTTTCAGTATTTGTAATGATTGGATACAACATTTCTTATGTTGAGATTGGGGCCCTTAACGGCAACGTCTTTACCAAATGCTGCTCTGGGCACTTGTCCTTGTTATATGTACATTCAATACAGACTTCTGTGTTCGCTGTCAGCAGCAGCTGCAATTGCCTTTGCTACAAATCTTTTTCCTCCCCAAATAGTTGCAACTTTGACCACTTGTTGTCCATTTCTCCTAGAACAGTCTCGATTGCTGATGAACCTCTCTAGATGCTTCCTGGGAGATGTACCTTCAGTGTGGTCCAGTAGTTGTTCCTTTTTCTATCTGACCTTTTTCCTTGCTTAGTCATCTCTTTCCCAATGGCAAATAGAGATATCTGAAAACATCCTGCTGCTGTCATGTGAAAAATCACAGCTATGAGGTTGCTTGTGTTTTAATGCGTAATTCTCTTACCCAAAACAAAACCCCACAAGCAGTCCACATGATGCCGCTGCTTCTGAGGAGTGTTAGAGCATAACAGAGAGTCACAGGAGCGCTGGACTGGGTCATTTTAGCCTCCTCTCTGATTTCCAAACCAGCTGTGCAATAGGATGTCCCATCACAATGACTCAGCCTCCAGACACATTTCCTGCCCCACAAGCGCTGACATGGGGCTGGCTGGAATGGGATGCAGGGCCGCTCTTCATGCTGCCGTCACTCGAAGGACGCGAGTCTCACCTGCTGTTGTGGCGTTGTACGAGGCTGGCACGCGCTGTTGGGGTCATGTACGAGGCTGGCATGCGCTGTTGGAGTGTTGTATGAAGCTGGCACGTGCTGTTGGGGTGGTGTACGAGGCTGGCACGAGCTGTTGGGGTGGTGTATGAGGCAGTACGTGCTGTTGGGGTGGTGTATGAGGCGGCATGCGCTGTTGTAGTGTTGTATGATGTGGCACACACTGTTGAGGTGGTGTATGAGGCTGGCATGCGCTGTTGTAGTGTTGTATGAAGCTGGCACGTGCTGTTGGGGTGGTGTACGAGGCTGGCACGTGCTGTTGGGGTGGTGTATGAGGTGGCACGCGCTCCTGTGGCATTGGCAGGTTGGGAGCCAAGGCAAATGTCAGGGGGCGGCAGACGCAGCCCTGCGGGGGCAGCCTCTGCGGTCTGTGCAGGGTGTGCGCGGCTGCCTCGGGCCTGAGGGCCACGCACGGGCCACGAGGCCAGCGGCCTCTCCTCAGGACCTCGCTCAGAAAGGTCACACCGCAGGAGCGGCAAGGAGAGGAAGGCGAGGAGGGAGCCTGCCCGATGATTCCAGCCCCGTATCGCCTCAAAGCTGGAGCCATCTTGTAAACATGTTTTAAATTCGGTCCTCCAGCTCGAGAATCAGAAAGGCTACAGACTCCACGTTAATTAGTGATCTCTTGAGCCCTCCGGCTCTCTAGTACTTACCTAAGGAGATCAAAGACAGTTCATCTGTCTTATGTGATGTTTAGCATATTTTAATATCAAGATAGAATTAAGGTTATGATTTTTGTAATTAAAGTTTTGAAATTAGCACTTGGCAAGGGCCAGTCTGTTTGGCTGGTTGATGATGGCCAGTTTCTGTACAAGATTTCACACGCTGGGCTGTGATCAGGGTTCTGGTCCCAGCTAGCCGGGATACCCAGGTAGGACACCAGGACACACTGCAGGATCTGCAGGGCAGTGTGCTGTTACGCCAGCACTTTGGAGGACCACAGCATGTTTCTAGCCATGATTGTCTCCGTGGGTAGGTGCTGCAAAAAATAGGTTAAAAGGAGAAAACTACAAGCATTGGAAAACCAGCCTCATTCTTCAGTCATTGCTGCTGTTGTTTCTGGTTGTTACTATTTTGATAGTGCTGAAGCTTTAACTAGACAAATAAAAACAGTGAAAATGATCCTTAAAATACTTCCATTCACAAGTTTCAATACTTGAAGCAAAGCAACCACGTACTTGAAGAGCAGTCTGATCCATCTGTCCTTGATTTCTTTTCTGAAGCTTCCAGCCTCCCGTTAAATAGTGTTTTGGGCGTGTTCAATATAAAAGTGATTTGAAATCATCCGTTTATTTTCTAGTAACCAAGGTCAATTCTTCAGACAGCAAATTTTAGGCTTGATAATCAAGGCCTACTTGTAATTATGATTTAAGGTTAAAGCACTCCCACAGATACTTCTCTAAGTTGCTTTCAATGTTAACACTTGGCTTGGCTGTGTCTCATTCTCTCTCAGAAACTGCAAAGCTTACTTGCTTCCATAAAACTTCCAACACTTGACACTAGGCATTACTAAAGCAATTAATATGATATGTGACAGCGTTTTTATCAGGAAAAAAGAAGTGTTTTAACCTCTAAAAGCTTTCTTCATTCGGACAGTGGTTAAGTGGCATGATGCTGAGATACAGTTTCAATGGGCCCAGATGCAGTACCCAGCACAGAACTAAGACTGCTCTCGGCCCCATTTATACTGAATAATAGTTTTAATGTAAAAGAGACTCAAGGTATTCAAGCCCAGTTTTTTCCCATCTCTCTTTTATCTTTGTCTACCATCTCTGACTGTATCAACAATCTTTCCTCAGATTCTTGTCGCAAGTGTCCTTTATGAATTTATAATGTTCTTTGCATATGCTGCCTGGCATTTGCCTGTAGTAATGACTAGCTACACATTAATTTAGATTATAACGAAGAGTGTTGCTCTTCTACATCATTTCTCAGAGGTGAGTTAAGTCGTCTCTCTTGCTGCCTCTGCAGTCTGCACTACAGGTAGAGCAAATGCAGGCATTCATGAATTTAATGTGATACCATCCTACTACTTCACAGAGAGATTACATTCATTTTACAAGAATTGTCTTGCAGTCCAGAACAAAGAAATACGATTGACAAGGGGAGTTAAGATTTTTCTGAGGAGTAGTTGCTGGCGTGCAGTGTTTGCTCTCCTGCCTCTGTCTTTGTGCTGGTCTGTGTGCCCTGTGTGGGGGCTGATGCCAGGCAGATCATTTTGTCCTAAAACCAGCCCTGGGGCTGCTGTCTGCAGCCAGCACAGAGCTACAGATCCGCCCCACTGCGGCATTCAGGACTTGAATCCAGATTTGGGCCCTTCTCCTCTGACTTCATGAGTGGAGTTGGTGGGACAGCAAACGGCCTGTGGGCCTGACCACCAAGAAAGGAGGTGCTGTAGGGTGCTGATGTGGTGTGAATCCCGGGAGAAACGTGAACTACCAAAGTAACAGATGCCACTTCCTGTTCCATTTCCTACCTGTTCTCTTCCCCCATCCCAAATACCCCCCATAAAACCCTTTTTTTTCTTTTTTTTTTTTTTTTTTTTTGTTCAAACAACAAGGCTAAACAGGTGAAATTTTAAATAATGATTGAGGATTTTTTTATTCATTTAAGTTTCAATATCATTACAGAAAATGTTATGGTACAGAGTTGTTTAACATTAGTTTTATTTCTTTGCTCATTTAATTTCCACACGAATGCTGGTAACACTAATATCTGTACAAGATCAGTCTTTGATTTTTTTTTTTTTTAGTTTTTAATTCTGTACATTTTTAAATGTATTGGTTAAAAAGGCTGTCAGCACTTAAGGAAGCAATTTTTTTTTGTTTGTTTGTTGAAATAAAAGGTATCCAGATACTGCCCAAGAGTACTGAGCTGGGTGGCTGCTGGGACGTGAGAGATCCCTGAACGCACAGCGAGGCGGGAAAACCTCGCGGCTTCAGCGGCTTCCCAGGGCAGCCACTCTGCTTTTGGCACTGTGCACATCAACACGAGATACAAGATAAAGAACAAGCAGAAGCTCTCTGTGAAGCGGTTATGAAGCATACTAATAAGGGAAATCCAAGTGTTGTCTACGCTAGTATAAATAAGCAGACAGCCTTGTTTTAAGAGCATAAGTAGTTGTATCTTAAAGATGAGAAAAAACACAAGTTCTGCAGGCACCTACTGCTGTCTACTAAAAGCTACCGCTATTAGAACTAGCATTGAACACACAAAGCAATTGCAAGGAAAGGAAAAAGTTGCTTTGATATAATCAGAATAAATTTCTTTGTTAAGATTTGCTTTTAAAGTTTTCTTTTTTTTTTAAAAGGTATTTATTTAAACTCCATTTGAAATATAGTTCAAGGTGTTGACTATACTGATCAACTTTTATCCAAATCAGAAAATCTAGCTGTGCCGTTGCATATTACAGGATACAGTCAATGATATGTGGACATGCATCAAAGCGTCGCTCTTGCTGGTGACATCATAGCCTTCCAATGACCATGACATCCACCACCTCCCCCTTGTGAAGCTCCACATACTGCTCTGTCTTTGGAGGTAGCATCAACAGTCCATTGGCACTGCGCATACTCATGAGACGACTACTCATCTGATTCCCTGCAGGACAGGGAAAGAGAATCTCAGTTAGTTTTTCCATTTCTTCCAAATGCTGCAACACAACAAGAGGGAAACAGGCTGTTCTTAGGGAGATATTCCTGTTGCTACTTATTCATAGTGCTGGGATCAAAGGTCATGGGATGGAAACAGAGAACTATGTAGAAAATTCCATTGGAATTTCTAATCTTATCAAAAATAAGTTTATTTTTCAATTTGTACATTTAATTCAGACTGTACAAAAGCAAAACACAGGACAAGGTAGATTTTTTTTTAAATGCATCAGTTAAAAGACTGGATTTCTCTGGGACACTGTGCTTTATACCATGTCCTGAAGATAAACAGTATCATCTTAGTAGTGCTGACAAAAAAGGAAAATGCAATAAAAAGTAATGGCCTTTATTCTGTTTGTTTTCTTACTTTTATATTTATAAAGATATCATTCCAGATGATCTAGCTTTCATAAAGAAAAGAGTGGTGCACAAGACCAAAAATGAACCTTCTAAGAACTCAGAACTTTCTAAGTAAAGGCAACACCTTGAATCACAACTGCTAATATATCAGAGATTGAGGGACCTTGATTATCAATGGTAAGAATTTTCTCTAAGTAAACAGCAGGATGCATGAGGGGTCAATATGTCCTCTCTGAAGACTTGCATATAATGCCTTATATTGAACAATCTGGATGTGTCAAAAAGTCAATTAGTTGTTTAAGGACCTGAATATCTTGAGGAACTGTCACAGTCCATCTCCTAGCAGCATGCAGGTGGAAAAAGTATTCAAAATATTATTTACCTCAACTGTAGCTGAGTATCCAGAAGTATCTCTAGATGGCAAACACGACTAATAAAGAACTCAGTGTACTTAAAAGAACAGATATTGCCTCTGCTACTTCTTATACTTTTCCAGTTCAGACAGAATTGCACTTATTTGCATTGTTCCTACTTAGGCCTCAACTTGTGTTTGTTTAATATCTGCACAAGAGTAAAAGTAAGCAAACGTGCCAGGTGTGAGTGCAAATAAGCTTGGATGAATGTGTGTAATAAGGAATGTGTGCACCTATGCAGGCATACAGATGTGTTTTTGTGTGGTGAGTATAAAGGCAAGTTATTCAGATAAACCAGTGTGCCTAAAGAAGCTGGTATGAAAATGCACGTGGTTGCTGGAAAGCGTTTGTGCAGGAAGCTGACAGAGCCTGTCGGTCCGTGCGCCTGGACACTAACCTGTACTCTGTGCCCAAGGTAGTGGTTCTTGGTGATGCCAAGTCAGTATGCACCGGTGGTATTCTGGGCGGGGGTCCAGTTTTACATCACATGATAACTGCAGAGAAGCAAAGAAAGGACGGAAATGTCATGCATTTGTATTTCACTAAGACAATGGAGTTGTTGTTCCATTATCTGCTTATTATGTATTCTTTTATTTTTCTCCACAGTTTTTTCTTTTAATTTGTATTTTAAGGTCAGCGAGTGTTGAGGACAAGGTCAAAAGCTATAGGGGGAAGATTGTAGTGTTTAAGGGAATTATAGTTTTGATATTATAATATCAAAGAATATGTTGAAGAATGCAAGTGTTAAGTTGAATATTCTAAAGTCTCTTTTCTGAGAGTTTAAAGATTATATCTCTCTGGAACAAAAGCTTTGTAGTTTCTGGTCTCAGGATAAAACTTTTATTCAAATTCAAAACCCTACTAGCCTGGACAGAAGGGAAATGGTCAACCCTTGCAATGAGAAGAAATATGTGGAGTGGCTTACAATGGGATTTATTGGAAGCATATCAGAAAATTCATACAAAAGTGAGGGTCATACTAGGCAGCAGCAAGACTGAAACACTGTCAGTCATTGTCTGTTTTGGAATATTTTAGCTCTGAGATAAAGAAGAATTTGGACTGCTAAAGCAGTGTGAGAGAGACACAGGGGGCGAGCAGTAAGAGAAAAGTCTGAGCACAACCAAGAATGCTGGGAAAATTGTAACGGGAGGTCTGTTCTTTGGTGCTTTTCTTGAAGAAAAAACAGGAAAATAACATTATAACAACATGCCTTGAAACTACGTAAAATATATTTGGTATATCCATGATTTTTTCTCCAGGTAGAATGAACAGTGTAAGGGATTTGCATTGCTTGGAGTGGGGATCATGTGGGTTCCTCAGTCAAACAGTCAGCTCAAGAGCTGGCTCAGCACAAGCTTTGGAGTTCACAGTTCCTATCTAATCATGCAGAATTACCTGACTCTCCTGGTATTTCCCAGATATTTAGATGTCCTGCGTATTGTTTGCCACAGGACTTTCATACAGCGAAGTGTCCTGCCTGACTGACCAGAAGATGGCTGCCTGGGTGTATGTACATCTTGGGCCATCAGATCACCATCTAACTCTCAGAAATTATGGGACTGAATATTAACATTAACTGAGACCTAGAATGCACTTTCCTTTACTGTGAACTTTCCACTTGTCAAAGTTACCCTGAGGTTGAGATTCCCCAAAGGGGACAGCTTTTCAGAGCTCAAACAGAAAGTTTTCAACATCATAGAATCATTATAGAATCACCAGGCCTAGAAAATGACCAACCATGACATTGTCCTGATGTTTTAACCAACATCAGGACAAAAGTTCTTAAGTAGAGCCCCCGTTTCTTACCCTGGCTTTGATAATGGTGGGCCGAGGATCCAGGATACCCTGCATTTTCCTCAGTGCAGGAACGACGAAGAGATTGCAGGTGACAACAGCAGACACGGGGTTGCCTGTTGAGCAAAGAGCAGTTGGAGGTGACTCCCGCACGATATGCTCAAGGAAATGTCATTTTTTTCTAACAATTTCACTCTAAAGGATTCAGCAGAGGTTTTGCTGCTTGGTGCAGGCCACATGGCACCTAAGCCTGCAGTGGGATGTGACAACGCGCAACTGCTCAAAGCTACGTGATATTCCGTTCATCTCCTTCCTCAAACAATGCCACAACAACTGACACAAAAGAGGAAAAGCACTAGAGAGAGACCTAAAAAACATCAGATTATCAAGAACAGGAGCCCTCGTGCAGTCAGAAAACCAAGCAAGTCCAGGGCAATACGAAGGAAAAAGAATCCTCCTGGCTTAGGAGGCGGGAGGTTTGTGGCCAGACTCCCCGCAAAGCGGCCGCGCTGGAGTCAGCGCCCTGTCCAAGCACCCGTGCGCTGCAGCTGAAGCCACACTGCCCTCTCTTGGCTCCACAGGGCCAGCGGGATGGGGGGAAAAAAAAAAACAACCCTTAATTCTGAAAACAAACAAAGAAAAAATTGGATTCTCTATATTTTATCTCCATTTTCAGCTCTTCAGGAGGGATATACTGACCCACTGGCACAGTGTATCTACCTGTATAACACCCTGCTCTATAGTATCACTCATAAAAAGAAGGAAATTGATGGAAAATTGATGGGAAAAAATGTATGCCCTGTACCACAGTAATGCTCAGGATGTAAGAAATCTTTAGTCCCAATCTCTTTCCTTTAGAAAACCTTACAGCTCCCCGTCCTAGGGGTACCAGTTTTATCATGTTTGCTGTCACCTGGGCACAGAAACAAAAATCATCCCAAAATGTCTTACCTGGGAGTGCAAAGATTATTTTTCTTACACCATCAATATCCAGAGTTGCAAAAGTGGTTGGCAGGCTATGGAGAAAGAAAAGTATTTAATATCTCCATTGGACTGACTGGACATAACCTGCTAATGCACAACTAAACTCAGGGCACTCAGGGCATTTTTTTTTCCACACATTACATAATGCGAAGCTTTTTTTTTCCCTTTCCCCCCCCAACTTTAATACTCATTGCCTTCTCTACTCATGGGTTGCAGCATCACAGTTATCCTAGATTCTGCTGAGGAACTTAGGATGTTGACATTCACATCCAGGGCATCTTCTCTTACCTCCAGCATTATTCATCTCACTGCTCCCTTCAAATCCTGCCACATCTTTTTTCTCAGCACAACTCGTCTCCCAGTTCCCTGACACATTAGACATAACCCCGTAACTCTCAGTTACTCTTATTCTTATTCCCATAAATATTTTTCTTGCAGAGCTAAGAGGAAATAATCACCTACCATTCTATTTATAAACTGCTCTGTGGCTACCTATTTTCTGTCTGTGTTTATGCTCATTTTATTTAAAACATTTGAAAACAAAGCAAAACAAACAGGATCTCTCTGCCTTGGCAGTTCATGAGCACCTGCTGCTTATTCCATACTGCAGCCATAATGCTCTGCTTGTGATTATTGGACAGAACAACTAGTTTTTCTTGGTATTCAACTGTGAAGTCACAAGTAGAGGATTTTGCTCCTGGTGAGGAAAAATCACCCCTAGAGCAGTATGTCCCAAGTGCCAGTGGTTCATGTTAGATCTCCTGCAGAGCAACAAGCTCCATCAGGCAGAGCTGCTGCCAGGGGAGACCCCGGTGTATCAGTGAAGGGCTCTCCCGCTCTTTCAGAGCTGCTCCCGAGCGGTCTTCAGCGCTTCAGGTCTTTAGTTATCCCAGCTATTACAGTTTTACTAACAGGGCAGTGCTGTGATGGGAATAGAGCTGGCTAAGAAAAGGGACTTATCCATTAAGACATATTTTCTATGCACCTTTTAAGACTTTTCATTATTTTAAACATGAAAGGATACTGCATGGGAACAATGATTAGATTGAGTTCCTGGAATACTTAGCAGATACATCACACTTGTCATCATTACTATTTAATTTTCTATCTGCTACGACTAATCAAGATCATATTTTACCAGAGGCAGCTGGTGTTTGAAGTGCCTGTGCTAAAATGATGGGAACTGTGAGATGGACCTCCAAACTACAGCATATTATATCCAGTGCACAAACTGAGGTATGACAAATGTAAGTGCTAATTCATATTTACACAAAACTCTGAATTCCCCTATCAATTTTCTACAGAGTTATTGGTAGAGTCTTCTGGTACTTTACTCTGACAATGCTCCTTGATAGGCTATCACCTTGCATTAGTTCAGCAGCTTTCAGATCAAGTGGAGGAATGGCAAATCCCAGGAATCACACTGCAGTGAAGCAGCATATCAAAACACGGGCATATAAACCAAATTCTAATCTTGCTTGGCTATTAGAACTTATCCATACTGATTTTTCCTAATATAGCACTCAAAGCTCTAATAAAATCTAAAGTCTTTTAAAATCATAATAAAATAAGATATAATGAAAGTGTAATAAAAATCTTAATAAAATATTACATGAAACAGAGTATTTGCTCTGTAGTACAGCCAAGGAAAATGACCACGTATAAGTTCCCAGTGAGTTCAGATGATCAAATGTTTTTGTAATAGTGAGAAATCTTTCCTATGACCTAAACCAAAAATGGTTTATTTAGGAAAAACAGGTTCCTTAAGGTTTTAGGGGTAGTTGTTAACAGCTTATTGTTTCAAGTCTACAGAAGGATCACCAGAAGAGGCATTCCCTTGGCTTTCAGAACCAGAATGTAATGCTCTGCATCTCCTAAGTCAGGTTATGCATTTTTGACAGCAGCAGACATTTTGTCTGGATGGCAGGTCCCAGCTCTGATACTTCCCTATGCTGGTTGTAGCAGCAGAACAACTTCTAGCACTGTGTTGTGAAGGGAACACGTGGGGAGAAACTTGTCTCCAGGTCCCCTGCTCCTCTTACAGACAGGAGGAGGTAGCCGCAGCACAAGCGCCAGTCCTCAAGCAGTCCCTTCCTGGGGTGTGTGCAGAGGTACCCAGAGCATTTGTCTGTTTCCCCAGAAAACCCCCATTTTCTGCTCTCCTCCATGGGAATTACTATGGATTAGATGGAATCATTCTCAAGCTTCATTTGGGGTTCAGTTACCGGACCATGCCAACATGAGGCCGAGACAGGGCTGCAGAAATCTCTCCCGTCTTGCTATCTCATAGAATCATAGAATGCCGAAGGTTGGAAAGGACCTCAGAGGTCATCAAGTCCAACCCCCCTGCTCACGCAGGGTCACCTAGAGCACGTGGCACAGGGCTGCATCCAAGCGGGTTTTAAAGATCTCCAAAGAAGGAGACTCCACAACCTCTCTGGGCAGCCTGTTCCAGTGCTTTGTCACCCTCACAGTGAAGAAATGCTTCCTTAAGTTCCTGTGGAACTTCCGATGCTTCAGTTTGAAGCCATTTCCTCTAGTCCTACCCCTGCCCACCACTGAAAAGAGGCCGCCCCCCTCCTCCTCACTGCCTCCCTTGAGGTATTTATACACGCTGATCAGGTCTGTGAAAGAGAAGTCCCTATTCTCACTACATGTCATCTTTATTATCTCCACAAAGCCCATTCCTTGACAGATTAATTAGCAGTGCTACAGCAAACTGATACCGAAGCACTGTTTTCTGAAATGAAGCACAAGCATTGGGTTTCCTATAAAATCCTTATGTTCAACATGTCAATTAAAAAAACCCCAAACTTTAAATTATTTGTCATTCCATCTTTCTCAAGAAATTGCTTGTTTACATCAATTTGAGTTATGTAAACTTTGAAGGGAAACAAAATGCTTGACAAATCAGCACTTAAATGTCTTTATATTTCCCTGTCATCTGTCAGTGTCTGAGCTCAGTGATCACAGCCAGGACTGTGGATGTGTCTGTAGCATGATGATTCTCCTCCCCTCTCATTTGCAATAGTTATCACAAAGGTATCTATTACTGAGCAAAAGCAATCCCTCTGTTCAAGTTAATTTTACCTACACAGATCCAAGACTAATCTGAATAGGGGTAATTATTTCCCTGTATCTATACATATGTCTTTATTTATATCTATCTCTCTCTCTCTCTATATATATATATATATATACACACGTGATTTTATATATATGTGTGCCCATACGTGAGATTTATAGTGAGATTTAAAACCTGGTATCTACTGAAACACTTATATAGCATATTTGGCTAGAAAATAGCCTCCATTGATGCTACCTAATTAAGAAGATTTCTTACCCTGGTTTCATAAAAACTCTCCCAAAGTGAATCTGTGCGTGAAGATCGATGTCCAGCACCTGTTTAAGATAATCCTGTTTAAAATAGAAAGAGATCGATTAACTGATTAAGTAACATCAAAGTGTCTTACATCATTTAGGTATTCAAAGAAATTAATTAACATCAAGTAGAAAGGAAAGACTGTCACATCCTGCAAGTGCTATAGTCCACTGGGGAATTTCCAATATTTAAAGAAAATGTTTTCAAAAAGAAGAGGTAAATAGCAGATTCATTTTAAGTGCCAGACCTGTCTCCATGAGGACACAGTAATCTATTCACATAAATTCAACTGTAGCATCAGAATCCTAAAGTCCCCCAAATTACCTATTTCTAAAGCACTGGGTATGTCAAAGAGGAGTAAAAAGACCTTTATGATTTGAAGTTATGACTTAAAATCATCAAGCTATTTATCTTTCACCAAGGAAGCCATCTGTGTAAAGTTAGAGATCTCCTATAGCTTTTGAAATCAAGGTTTTACTGTTAAAAACAGTTTCCTAGGATACTGTTATTATTGTAATTCTGGGGGGACATGATCTAACTCACAGTGGTTGGGTTTAACTGTCCTAAGTTTCTTAGAACTGAAAAACTGTGGATGACTTGCACACTCAAGTTAAATTCAAGTCCTGCTTGAAAACAGCTGATCCAATGACAAAAAGAAAATCAAAAATTGGACTCATATTTTAGTCTTTCCTAAAAATTGCTGTGCTCAAGCACTATAAAGATGTAGTATCTTGTCTGTTGTTTTTAGTGAGACTTAAGACAGAGCATAATAATCATCTCTGAAGACAGACTTTCAAAGCACAGTGCCCGAAGCTCTCTTGCAGTTTTCCCATCCATCTGCTCTTTTTTGGGGCTTCAAATACTTGAAAAGTAGCACCATTATTGGACCACCATAAATTTAAATGCTTACCTATTCATGGTAGTGATGTAGAGTAGCAACCCCCTTTAACATGCTATTTAATTTTTGCATGTTCAAGATTATTTCACTACAAGCGCTGAAAGCTCAGTATCAGAGGAGAACTGTCAGTGGAATACAGAGCCTACTCACAAAGCCTAGGATTGAGCCAAAATGCAGAAATACCTGTTTGTCAAAGCAGCAGCCTAGTCACTTCCTAGTGATTCAGTGTCTTTACTTCATCACCACCTTCCCAATTTAAGGACCAGCACTTAAATCCTTGATTATTTTTCTAGTAACACCATGATGATAGAGGAATTGAAAGCAATTGTCACTGGTTTAACTAGTCATCTATTTTCATGATATATCCATCAATGTTTTCTACTCAGAAAAGGGACAAAAACAGCGCTCATGTTTGTCATCTCCTAGTTACTGTCTTTAATAGCTGTTAGTTATAAAAGGAGAGATGTTTCTTTTACCTGCCAAACTCACAGATTCAGCTTGGGATCAAAAAGTAATCTGAGTTTTCCTTCGCATAAGTCATGATTAATAAATGTCCTGCAGGTTCATTTACGCCCCACCAGCATCTGTGTATCCCTATTTTCTTTGATGATTTTGGCACAGGGATTACCAACGGGAACTCAATGAACAATTCTGTTAATGATTCAAAAGGCAAATATATCAGCTCACTGCGTCTCGTAGGTATTGCCTCTGTAGGCAGGAGTAAAATGTGATAAAACTATTTCTGTAACAGATACAGCCCTAGCACATTCAGCAAACAGATCTGCTGAGTAAGAAAGAACCATTTATATACTCAGTTGCTTCTTATAGTACTTTCAAAGTAGCTTTAGTTTATCTTCATTTAACCTATTTTAAGAATAAAAAGAAGTCTGTTGCCTTCATGTGCTTTTAACCAAACACCTTTGTGAGCACAACTACAAAATTCGTTCCTCAAACAAAAAACAGATCTGCCAAGCGTTCACATCAAGAACTGGATCCTTCCATATTCTCCTGTGTTTCTACTGTGCAATGTAAACGAGGACTGCATTGAAAACTTTTAAAAACTCGTTCAGCATCACTTAAATTAAAACGTAAGATCTCTTTTTCAATAAGCATTAATACAAAGGTAGTAGTTGTGATGATGAACTCTGTCTTGAAATTCTTACATATTCTAGCAAGCTGTACTCAAATTTAGCATACCTTTTCTCCCATAGATACACCTCCTGATGTAATGATCACGTCGGCACGGCTGATACCCTCATTCAGTGCGTTCAGTAAATCATCTGGGCTGCAGGGGAAGAAAAACAGGCAAGTACATTAGTGGCATAATTATGAATTACAATGTGTGTGTGTGTGTATACACACACCCACACAGACATATATATACCCACATATAGCAAACACCTAGAACTCTATAATAACACAAGATCTTTTCCTTCACACCGCTCTATTACACTCAAGAAGTGCAATCTCATTAAATGAATACCACACAGTTTGACATCCTTCACTCTACCATCTTATTGACAGGAACAGGGGGATGTTTTATACTGGAACCAAAGAATAGCAACAAAGGTGCATGGAAGTGTGTGACCTGCGTAACAGACAGCAACATATATCATGGGTGAGATGAACTGACAGGGCTACGTGAGGGGGCCCAGCCCAGGGAAGGTATTTGACACCAAGCAGACTGAAGTGCTATCTAACTTATTCAGTATGTGCAAATGGGCGTCAAGCTCCACTGGAAGCTTCCATCAGTGAAAAGTGAGAGCAGACCCTTTCTTTATCTCTTCCATCAGAGGAATCTGCAGCAAAGCCAGCTGTACATCCTCTTTATCTTGGAAAAACACAAGAAACAGTGCAAGGGTAGTTCTGACGTTCCCCCATGCAAAAGGTATACCTATGGGAAGGAGTAGGATAGAAATTGAGAAATTTCACTGTGACTCTTCCTTGTTTTTTAAACCTAAACTAGAACTATAATTTTGAAGCAGTCATCATCTACTTCTAACAGCAGTGCTAACCTAAAAGCATGCAGTGGAAAAACTTGGTAAGAAAAGCTGCAAGAGAAAATGAAAGGAATCCTAAGGATCTTCCAAGATGCTAAACACATACAGTGCTTCCAACATTTGTGAACTGAACAGATGCTGATTAATTTCTCTATATGCCAAATTCCTTCAACACTATCTTTTTTCTCTAAAGATCTTCAAGTCTTTTTCCATGAAGACATATTCCTTCTTAGAATGCCATTGAAGGAACTGGAAGTAATGTATGTATTCTTATTTATTCTGCACTATTGCGGTGGCTGACGCACCGTGCTCTTTGGCATCACGCAGTGTGGTTTTCCTGCAAGATTCCTCTGTTCTGGTTGAGGTTACCTGCACTCTTTAGGTCACGTTGCTTTATAAGAAGTAGGCAACAAACTGAAGCAGAAGGAAGAACAGATTGCTAGCGCCACGATGTAGGCTGCAGTCAGACGGTTCTAATTAAAATAATTAGATTAATTAAATATTGTCATTCTTTTTAAGGAAGCAGTGGCTGTGTGGATTGTGACATGTGTCTTTATGATTTTCAGTAAAGTCTTAACGAGCAAATTATTCAGGATAATGAGTTTCTTGGATACTCAATTTCATGTGAAAATTTAAAACACAGACAAAACAGTCTCACTCTGTTTCTTGGGGAATGGACACATTTTCTCAGCTGTCCCTTGTGAATTCTCAAAAAAAAAAATTATCCAAAAATCAACACAAGCTTTTATTAGTTGATAAGGCAAGAAGAAAGAAGCAAATCTGTTGTTAGATACTGTTAATGTCTTAATTGCTTGATACTGATGCTAACTAGTGGTTGATACTAACTAGTGGTTTAGTATCTAATAAGGTATTGCTTAAGATAATTGTGAATATTGTGAAAGAAAAACTCTCCCAGCATCTTAAATCCTTGCCAATGAGCATGCAGACCGGAGTGCAGCAAGGAGCATACATTCACAATGCAGTATATGATACAGGTCTTCTGAAAGCTTCATGAGTCAGAAACTCACGCTGACACTACCAGACCAAACTGCTACCAGTGTATTTTTCTCACTGGGTGGTGATGCAGTTGAGGATCTTCATTTGGAGCTTGCTCCCAGGCTGTTTCATTTTATCTTACTTAAGTATATAAAAGTTATTCCTAGGTAGCAAAACCACCTGCTTGAGGATATCCTAATTCTGGATTACCAAGTTTATTTGTCTCTGGTTGTGGTTTGAGAATGATGGAAAGAACATTAAAAAGCAAATGAGACTGTAATTGACTGTTGAGTTAACTAAAGAAATATAAGTGCTTTTGTTTATTATATATATAGTAAAATTACTTACCAAACAGAAAAGAACAAAAGAACAAAACACAAACCAGAGGAGGGGGCTGAATTCACACTTTTGTTTCTGAGGGTAGTTACTCTTTTTTAACCAATTTATATAAGGATTCCACTGGAACAATTCCCCATTTCTTCGTTATATCCCACATTAAAAGCTGAAGATTACTGGACTTGGTGTGTTTAGTTAACATTTTCAGTAGGATGACCTGTATAACGTATCTATTTCTTTACCAAACATATAATGTAAGACATTTAAAAATTTTACCGCTGAAACATATTATCCAATCTATAGCACTGCATATGCTCTTTAGATAGTTGCAAAATGCTTTGAATTCCTGCAGAATGAAAGATATGATAGAAATAATTACTACTAGAAACTGAATGTTTATGGGTCTTGTGTCGCAATTCTCAAGAGGCTTGTTTTATTTTTACTTTTTCCCCGAGAACAACATGCCTTGTCTTTGCAAAGGCTTTTCTCTTTTGCCATATGTGGCACAGCTCCTTCTGTCACTCAAGCCTATCTAATTATTTCTTTACACTATACCTTATATATACTATACTCTACTACTTATTTGAGGCTGGTAATTTCACTTATTCTGCAATTAATGCAAAGCATTTTCCCAACACAAATCAGCTACTGTAATCTTCAATCAACAGCATAGCATTCTCCTTTCCTTTAGCAGATTTTAGGTGAGGAGTTAACATTCAAAATGCATATAATCACCTACTTGCCATAATCAGAAAACAGATATTCCTTCTTGTTTCATTTGCTGCATGATAACAAGCAGCTTCTCTGTGGGACTGACAGGGAAAGGGAATGAATATTCGAAGACTATTAGCATTCTGAGGGAACAGAGAAAATAATGTTGGCATCTGAGCATAACAGGACAAAAGGTCTATGACAAATCACCATGAAGCTGAGAAATAACAGTGTCTGGGCACGTACAAATCAGAGGCTTTATTCTGAAAGCCTGGCCACTGGGGCTCGGGACAGGAGACTGGATTTACTAGACCTAATGTCTGATTTACCATGACAAATCCTTACAAAGGTCTTGTGATAATGCTCTTCTGAGATATTTTTTTTTTCCTTTTTTTACAGACTGAACTGTAATAGGTGTCCAAATATAATGGTGAATATTTTAAACAGGGCAAAGGATATTTTGATGGGAACTCTCATTTCTACATGGCAAAATTACTCTGTTTCATTTGGTGGTTTTCAAAGTCAGAATGACATTGTGCCAGGGAAGAAAATGGGCTTTTCTAGCATGCTCAAAATTCTTGCTAACGTTGGTTAAAGAAAAAAATCTTTCTATAAGTTCCAGACTACCTCACAGCCTTTTCTGTAAATAAAACTATGAAAATCTGCTCTATAAGGAGTACACACACTTTACAAAACCGTTCAAACAGGCAGTTAAACACAAATCCAAACTTTCTCTATATTAGAAATCCCCACTTTCAACATATTGTGTCCGCACAAGCACTCTGTGTGTTATTTATGAAGCTGCAGACATAATGCTTTGCATAAAGAGGCCATATGCTTTGAAGGGTATCTTGACATTCTCTGCTAACCATGTGTGCCAGTTTGACACACATAGCGTCCATTTTGCTACCTCAATTTCCTGACCTTCTTCATTCTGTTCTGTGGAGCAGAATGAAAAACGCAATCTGGAAATTAGATCGATGGTGTCATGTTGTAAACTGGCAGCAGCAAGTACGGAATCCAGTAAGCAGATGCATACATTGCAGTTGATAGGCCACTTGGTTTTATTAATTCGAAGAGCAGGCTTGCAGGATGGCAATATACCAGAACAGGAATTCCTTCCACGTTCACAAAAAATTCTGATTATCCAGGCTGATTTTTGGAAAACAGTTATGCACTACTTGATTACTGAGTTTTCTTTGAACTGAAAAGATTCACAGGAACTTTTAAGCCTGCAAGCATCGTAAGTCATCAGATTGTAAGAGGTTTTTTTTTTCTTTATATCTCTGTCAAAAATACAGTCAAGAGCAAAGAATTCTTTATGTAGTAAAATGGCCATTTTAAAGCACCCTAAATGTTAACATAATTTTCTCTTGCTTTCAATTAGGAAGCACTTTTTGTTAATTTGTTTCTGCTGATCCTGTTGCGTTTTACTGTCGGTGATAACACTGGCAACCTCTTCTGAGATGCAACCCCTTACACCAGCAGTTTGAGATAAAACCAGTTAAGCTGTTTGGTTTTATTATTTAGCTTGGAAAACAAATTAAGAACAAATGGCACACAGCATCACCAACCACTCTGCAATGAAGTGAATAATCCCTATAAAACTGAACTGGAACATTTAGCTAGGAATGAATTACTAAGTCATTATCACAGTACAAATTCTGTATTTCATTACCAATTTCCAGGGCCATTTCCACCATGCTCTTTGCCACAGTAGTTCATTCATTCCAATTAATCTTATTATTTGACAATCATCTCCTGTCCTTATCATTGTACATTGGCATGTGCAGCTATGATTGTTGAGTGACTAATAAAAACACTTGTGAGAGTATTACTAACTTATGCACCAGCCCAGGCTTTTATAAAACTCAATCTTTTGGAAAACTATAATTGCAAAATTTATCCATGCAAACCATTACAATTAGCACCTTAAACTTATGGTGATGGGTGCTTTTCAAACATATTTGGCAGAGATACAGAAAGACATGAATGCACTAAGATGCATGCAGAAGTGTCTTTTGTGCCTATAAAAGCAGAGCTGGGTAATCTTTCTTGACTACTATTGCTTTATTTGAAAATATATGTTGAAATAAGTACCACTTCAGTCATGATACCCTGCAGATTCAGAGGAATTATAAACTCCTGGATATGTCTAAGGTTAGTGTAGGGGTGCAGAGCAAAAACGGAGGTGCTGTTTTTCTATACCAGTCACGCTAAAGAACAAAGCAGATTGACTGCT